TAGGGGTCCGTACGAATATCAACAGCCTAGTTTTAATTGCTATGGTTATGCCTTAGCTCCAAGCAATGGCCGGTGAGGTGTATATTCGCTTACAGCCTCGTCTGGCTATGCATATGATATTGTACCTGTAGTGTACTACTACTACTAGTAGTAGTGAGTAGGAGGCCCTACTACTAGTACTACTACTAGTACTAAAATATCTGAAATATCTAAAATATCTGGGTGACACACGCATAACATAATATAGTGATAATTATGACTATTAAGTATGGGAATATCGTTAAAAAGCATAATATCAAATAAGGTATCCTAAATCCATCGCAGACCTTGGACCACTGGACGCAATGTTGACAAAGAACAAGCTGTGATTGTCTGAGGCGCGGGCCGCCATATTGTATCTTGTTCGAATCCACCTCGCTGGCAGGGTCGGGTTCGATGGATCGAGATCATGTGATCCGACCAAACAAACAGTCATATCAGCGAATCCATCGGATCGAGATCCGTGGATCCGACCAAACAAACGTGCCCGTAATCTGACGCTCGTGTCTCTTCGTCGTCACTGTATTTCGGCGTTGTTCCTATCTCTCGACGTTGTATATTTATCAATGGCGTTTCATCGTCCGATGACCACTCTCCGTCGCTGTCGCTAATCGGTCTGATTTGCCCGCCTATCAAATCCCCCTCTCTTTCTATTTCTCTTTCGGGTGGTTTGTTGTGCGATGGCCTCGCTCTTGCTGTGAAGTGTGCTGGCCGTATGTTGTCTATGTGTGCGATTCTGGACTTGTCTAACCCGTCCTTGCAGATTCGGAAGCATACCCGTGACAGCTGCTCGACTATCCTGTAGTGTGCCTGCCATGGCAATGTGAGTTTCTTCGTTGTAACGGGAATTAGTACAGGCTCGTAGAAGTATATTGGGTCCCCGACTCGGAATTGTTGTAGCCTGGCTCTTTTGTCATAGATTCTCTTCTTTTTTCCCCTCGCGGCCCTTGTGCGTTGGTGGGCTTTTGCCATAGCTTGGTGTAGTCTTTCTGTAGCTATGGTCACTGGATCGTCTGCGTAGTGTCTACGTCTGGGCTGTAGGAAATCTTGTAGCGGCAGAACTGCCTCCCTCCCGTGATGGAGATAGAAAGGAGTAAACTGGGGTGTTTCATGTACGCTGGTCCGGTAGGCGAATAATACTTGATTTATCGTCAAATCCCACGTTCTTTGTTCTTTATCTACGTATCCACTAATTATGTCTGCTAATGTCTTGTGGAATCTTTCACAACTAGCATTCTCCTGGGGGTGATAGGGGGTAATTAGGATATGATTCATATCCTGACCTTAAGCACAGACAGCATTGACGTCATTCATCATGTTCGAGTCCCACGCAGATCGACACACAGTGCGACTTTAATTCTGCGGCTACCATTAACCATTAACCCCCTCCCCCTTTCGCGGGTTATTCATATTGAAGAAACTGTTGATATTTTGAGACGGTTACCAGCACTCATTTATCCATACATACTCCTGAATAAAGAAAAACCTGCTAGGGGGGTTCTAAATTTAGTCCCATTTATCCCTTAACTCTAGAAGTTGAAAGTTGAATCAAAACAATATTCACAGATGCAGCTTGACTATAGGCAAATGTGACATACGCGGGGAAATTTATTCAATAAGTATTTAACAATATAGAGTATATAAGGAGAATCCCTTCGTAGTTTGTCTTTTTCTTACCGAGTTGGTAGAAGTACAGCTTCAGGAATAGTGAAGGAAACATGTGCTGCAATTCATAACTGCCTGAAAGACAACTATTTGAAGGTGAACAAATTTTTATTAAAAATAAATATTTATACAACTCGTGAACATTGCATTCGTTCGGGGGATACAATTATTTAAAGGCGACGATGCCTTTGCTCTGAAAAAAAATATGGTGAAGCCGTAATCCAGCCGTATCTAGTAAAAAGAAACTCAGATTTTTAACTACAGATTGAGCAGAGCAAGGAGGGTAGTGGAAAATGCCTTCGGTATCCTGTCAAATAGATTCCGAATTCTGCATACATCAATGTGCCTTGAGCCTGAACACATTGAAGTAATACTACTTGCCTGCTGCTGCCTGCATAACTATTTGATCACAAACCAATCGGCTCACTACATTAGCAATCTTGAAGAACGAGATGCATCTGAAAACATATGCAGCCTTATTGATATGCAACCAACTAATCACAAAAATGCCCCAATGGGTGCCAAAGCACAGCGGGATGCACTGAAGGACTATTTCAATTCTACAGAAGGAAAAGTTCCTTGGCAGGAGAAGATGATTAGTATTGTACAGTAATGTGGTTATTACCTGCAAATTTGTCTGAGTTTGACTTTTTGTAATAAATGGTTTTAGAAATTGCAGACAATCCATAATCCACTTCTTTTTTTCTGTAATCGGACGGGCTGCACTGCCACTAGGTGGAGATTTCATGAGTTTTCCATGCTGTGTCCGTAAACTCTTCATTCTTTTCTTAATCTGTTCAGCTAAAAATACAAAATAGATGCATGAATGCTATAAAAGACCGAGATAACAAGAAGCTAATAATTTTGCCCATTTAGATCATATGATCCTATATATGGTCAGCTGATTAGATTTGGTACACTGATTATATTCACATCAAATAATGTCTCTACACGAAAGACATTTTTAATTCTAATGTTGAGCAATTACAATTCCTGAATCCAATAGCCACAAGTAAGCCATCTTAGATGATATCCCACTTGCTCCAGAGATAGGACTGTCATCGATGCCCACCTCATCGATAAATCGCGATGGATTTGCGTCCGATATCGATATCGAAATAAATCGAAAAATAGCGATCCGATACAGTATATCACAATAAATATTGCTTCTATAATTGAAGATGATATGTTAAAAATCTGCATGCCAGACTACCACTCAAGTCAAAGCCGGGGAGCGCAATATCTTTTCCTACTACTATGAAATCGGCCTTGGGCGCTGATTATGGTTAGGGCAAGGGCTACAGTATTATACAGGGTCAGATGCAGAATGAGCTGAAAAACGGAGGAGATGACAGTGAAAAGGGTTCAAATGCTTTGAGAAGGTAAGGGTTAGGGTAAGGGTGAGGGCATTACTGTGAAAATGTGAAGCGTAGTAGGATAGAAAATCACACAGCCGGGTATATAGCAAAACTGGTTCTAGATTTTGACAATTCCCCCCTCCCCCGTGACGCCACCCCTGCTAGTAGTGCTACACTGCCCCTAAATATCTCCTTACTGAATTTTGTTTAAATTTTTACATCATTTTAGAATCCTTGCAGATCTTTTTTAACATTAGTGCTGCATAATGCTTTGTAGACACTTTACTCTTTAGGCTTTAGTATTAATAAAGTTTTGAATTGTATTTAATTGTAAGTGACACAAGCCAGCAATAAAATGACTACTTACCATTCATTGCAAGTCTCAGCGCTATTTCTGTAATAGCGACCTCTTTCGCTACACGATCCCGGTATTCAGGGATCGCAAAGTCAAAAAGGCATGGCCTTTCCGACCACAGAAATACCAATTCGCCTTCCTTTTAGCGAGTCCACACTTCTACAGTATTGGAGGCAGCCATTTTAACATCACATGATATCAACAACACGTCCGATTGGTTTAGAAAAATCGATCGGGCGACAAAATACGCCGGACACGGGCACACGAGCGAATTTGCCAGCGTAAATAATCGCCCGAAAATATCAAACATTTTGGATACGGGCGATTCGTACGGGCGATTAAAATCGGCGTCGACGTGAACGGGCACACGGGCGAATTTTTCGAGCGATTTTAAAATTCGCGGCGATCAGGCGATAAAAATCGCTCGTGTGCCCCTACCTTAAGAGAGTGCATATAGAACGTATCATAGGACTGGCCAAAACCTACAATATTTTACAAATACCCATGAACCACATAGATTCTTCAATGGCAACAGAAATAAGCACAGCGATATGCAGACTTATTAACTTCAGGCCCTGCATTATACCAGATGATGCATAAAGCCTAGGACACACGAGCGATTCTGTACGCTGCCCGGCAGCATATATTTTGGCTCACGATTTTAGAACGCCGTATGAGTTGCGCGTACAACTGGACACACTGCGATTTTGTACGCTGGCCGTGTTAGCATGTACAGTAACAGGAGAAAATAAATAAAGTCAGAAGTGATATAGCACAGTGTGTCCTAGGCTTAAGGAAACATTCATAAAGATAAAGGCCAAACAAAATTGTGCAATAAAATGATATTTATTCACATATATAATATTGTGTGATCGAATAGTGTGCTGGTTAGATATGTGTGCCGAACACTTACAACAATGGTGTGTCGATACATCATACAGTACATGAAGGAAAGATTAACCATAGAATATCTATAATTTCATATCAATAGCACATAGTGACACTCAATGCTGTGAACCGTCAACAAGTTTACGAAGACTTAACTAAATAACCACAGAGTATAAGCAAGCATATCTCACTGACTGACGATGTGTAGTAGTAGCAGGAAGCAGCGTGTCAGGTCTGAATCGGTGGCTTATATCCAGTACGGGAAGTAGGTGACCATAACGTGGTCAAGGCAGTTAGTTCTTTCCACTACTATGGTATGTCAGTAAACTCTGCGCTGAATCTTACTTATTTTAGATGAGGCCTTGCTCTGAATCTTACTTATTTAGGCTACTGGCACTAATATACGTATAAATATAATATAATATATGTATATAATATATAATACTGATAACGTTGTCATCAATACTACAATGTACGTTTATAGATTGATAACGTTGTCATCAATACTACAATATACGTTTATAGATACGCTGCTTCAATACTGATAACGTTGTCATCAATACTACAATGTACGTTTATAGATACGCGGCTTCAATACTGATAACGTTGTCATCAATACTACAATGTACGTTTATAGATACGCTGCTTCAATACTGATAACGGAAATCTATAAAATCAGAATTACAGTTACAATCAATACAAAGAATACAAATACAATGTGAGCACAGCTGTAGTAGACGATCAAAGCATACTCGAAGTAAAGTGTCCATTTGTGGCACTCAAGTGCAAGGCCAGATGCTCAAAGAGATGTTCAAAAAAACTGACTGTAAGATTTGTAAACGAAATGGTCAATCAAAGCTGGTTCGAATGTATTATTATAAAACAATTTTAGTTTCTGCAGCATGTCATCAATAAACTTTTCATTGCGCTTAATTGTAAATATTTTGAAATCTTTCAGTGTAAAAACACAAAAATAACATTATTCTCTCTTTGAGCATCTTAACTGGCCTTGCACTTGAGCATAGTAATCATGTGATGTACTTAATGTTAATTCGCCATTACATTCGCGTTTTAGATAAGGCACTGTGGTTTCGTTGATCATATAGTTCTTGGCCACGAATGGACACTTTACTTCGAGTATGCTTTGATTGTCTACTACACCATCTCGAGTAGCTGCCAAGAAAGGGTACTCCTTGTCAACAAATAATCCACATCTCTTCACCAGCAATCCCGATGCTTTCTCGAATTTCTTAACTGCTACAGATTCATATTTTATCCCATGGCTAGTGTATCGCGTAGTCAGTGATCTTTGCCCGATGATGCTAGCAGCGAATAGTTTTGAATTTTGGCGCGCTGTTGCTTTGTTTATAAATCCGAACCTTGACGCAGTAATGCGCTTGCTGGCTGACTGGTCCCGTGTGTTTTCTTCAATGGTATTAATCTCGTCATCAGGGATTTCTTTCAGCTGAAAATCAAAATGATAGTTTAAGCGGGTGTTACTACGTCTTACAAGAAGTGTGTAGAAATGTTAACACTTATAATCAAAGAACAAGAGAGTGAGACAGTGCCAGAAAGAATAAGATTTATTACAAGAATGCTCTTGCAGTAAATAGAAGGGTAGCACGATAGTACAAGAGGAGGTGCTGACAATTAAGACGGTGCAAAGTGCTTCTCTTACAACAGCTATAAGAAACTACGTTTAGGAATATAAGAAAGATTATTTCACGTACTAGAAAGACAGTTCACTAAGATAGTACAAATAAAAGCAAGATAGATGTAGTGGCAAACCCTAAGCCATCGCTTAAGAATGAACTTACGTACTGCAGCAGACGAACACACACTCAGGCACAAAACGAGATTAAGACTGAGTAATACCGTTTGCGTTTGTCTTATATATACGATCTTAAATTAGTCTTACACGAACCCCTCTCCAAATAAGGAAACCATCCCTGTAACCTGGTGGCTATCCGAGAGAGGCGCAGCAGATGCTCCCGTTTAGCATACATCTCCTCACACACAAGCCAGAGTTAGATTGGCAATCAATCCGTCCGTCCCTAATAAGATAGCGTGCCGAGCGCACACTCTCAAATGCTCCCAATTCTCGAGGTAGGGGTGTACCCCTATTGTGCCGACCCTCCTCCGGGGGAAGTCGTGCTGCTGCATGCTCGTGTGCAAAATCCGTGTATAAACAAATGCAACCCGCGCACAAACAACAACACATGAGCTGCTGCCTTGCCTGTGCGAAACTGCCGGACGTGGAAGACTCCCATTTCACACATTCCATCAGACTCATCGCTCCTGCCCAGTTAGTTATTACAAGAATACTCTGCTGGCCTGTAATCTTAAAACGGAGTTGTAATAAAATTATAACCTTATTTATTTAATGCAAACCTCGTGTCTACATTTCCCCCCTGTCCAATCGGACGATGACCCATCGTTACAGCAGACTCCGACTGCTCTTCTTAAAATTTCGAACACGACGTTTCCTTAGTGGGCGTGGATTCGTACAGACTAAAATGAAACTGAAGAAGAAAGAAAGAAGAGTTTCTTCGGGTAACGTCAAGAACCGCTAAAAGCAAAAAATACAGAATGAATAATGTCATGATAAGTTAAGAAGAAAAGAAGGTACAGAAAAGAGATCAGTAATACTTCATTACAACAATAGTACTGTGGCACGTGTCAAATAAGCAAATACAATAATAATATTTTACAAAGAACGGAAATTATTTTTATTTTACCCAAAGATTGGTGTTTTTTTGTAAACAGCGGAGATACTGGAACAATTGCTGAACTACATTGGTTACATCTGCTAATACTACTATTATTCGTTACTATGCATCTGTCAATATCCGTCAGGGTATGCTGGCGGCATCGTGAAGGGGGGTTTAGGATGGCCCCTCGTGCTTCGTGCTGCGTGCGCCGCCCAACGAGACAATCCCCTCAGGCTGGAAGTCCGCCTCGGTGGCGTCCTGGGACAGCTCATCGCCAGCGCTGCGTAGCAAGCATCCCATTCCTCGAGCATGGCGCATGCCGGCGGCTCTCGGGCGTGCGGCTCATCGGCGGTGTCAGCTGCTCGTCCCATTGCTCGGGCGTGCGGGGTGTCGGCGGCGTCGATGGCGGTGAAGTCGGGCGGATAGAGAACTCCCGTGTTCGGTATCTATTGTAATAGCGGTAGGGGTAGTCTCGTTTGAATCGATCCATGAAGATGCAGCCGGTGAGGCCCGCACCTCCTCCACGCAGCTGCGTCCACGGCTGTGGGCGGTTGCCTCCCGTGTGCGGTAGTCCATCTAGGCCGGATCCGTCCGGGGTGGGTACGAGATCCAAGCTGTATCTTGTCGGGATACTCATGATGATGTTGATGATGTTTCTGATGTTGAATTAGCAGTGTTAATGTCAAACAAGTATTTTAATTCGCATTCGCAACGAGTAAAATCATTCAAGTTATAATTATTTAATGGTGTTAACGAACGATTAACATAACTCTATTACTTTAGCAAGAGCACACAGCATGCTATGTAAAATCGAAAGCAGTTAACTGAACAGAAAATCTCACAAGATTTTAATATGTTACGATTAAGATTTAGCTTGTGAGATTGCAAATATACTCTCAATCAAACCATATCTGCTTTCTGTCACAACACATGTGCATATCGTGAACAAGCAGAGCTACTAGGTCTACTGAAAAGAGTAAGGAGAGAATTACGCAGACGACAATCAGAACAACACACATTTCTACAAAAGCAAGCTACCAAGCGTGACCAGCGATCAATAAAATAGAAAAACGCGAGCATACTTCAGCTACTGAACGCAAATCGCTATCGCAACTCGTTACATGCGTATCGTGATTGGCGTGTCTGGTTCTAAGACAGGGTTTGCAGAAGGGATAGCGTAATGAGGTTCTGATTGAATTCTGAGTGGTGGAATCTGCATAGAATGTAACATAGGGGGCAGCAGTGGTGGTGTTAGTGGTGGCTTTACAGTGAACGGCTGCAAATGCAAAGGCGTAACTGGGAAGGAGTCCTCCTGGCGATGAGGCGTACATCCCTTACAACCAAATCGACGGATGGTGAAAATTAATGTTAATATTGCCAACAAGCAAAATCCCAGTACCGCATAGGTAGTGGTATGATGGATACGTGCTTGAATATTCCCATAATGGAATTTGTCATCACCTGAAGCCATGGGAACCGGCTGGTTATTCTTAACTGCATCTGCTAATTTAGCAAAAGCAATGTCCAAATCATTATGATTATACAAGGCATCCGGAACAATAGCACGCATGCGAGGCATAAGGCCCGACATGTTAGCGGTAGAGTGTCCTGTAATAGTAAAGAAATTATGCCAAAGCTGCGGTAAGTCCGGAAAAGCAAGCGCCTCTACCGATGGCAATGCTACATCCACATCGGAATGATGGACATAGTAAGGTGGCAAATGGAAATAATCTGAATGTGCTTTACATCCAGCCTGTAATGTTATAATCTGTTGATTAATAATCAGTCGTTCGTGCACCGTATCAGGCTGCCTAACACGATCGTAGCAAGATACTGTTACTCGAAAAGGAAATGGCGTAACTAACAACCAATGACCCTCAGCCAAGTAATATGCGGTGGGGACTGGCGAAACTGAAAATGTGACCGTACGTGTACAATAATCGATTATTCCTTGTGTGAAATTACGGAACAGCGCCATTTCACAAGAGTGCACAGCCGATGCTGGGTACACAGGTGTACTCAATGGGCAGAGTTCACGATGCTCCTGAATTCAAATTAAAATATCCTGGCTGTCAGGTGTTATGTAATACTGCTGATCTGGATTAACCCCCAAATAATGATGCGGCGGTGCATATCGAGCAGCAACCGATGTCGAAGAATTAGAACCTGGTAAATAAACCGGTGTTAGGATTTTATAAATTTCAAAAACAAAATCACGCTGAAGTGGCGGAATTGTAGCTAAAACATGGAATCCATGCCCCGTAGGTATAACAAAGGCTTCTATGTCATCATAATACCTTAATAAAGCCTGAACTGGTGGGCAAGGCAGCTGTACTGTAGGAGGAAGAGCGAGCTGTATTCCCTCTAAAATCTGTAACAACTGCTGAGGTGGAAACAAATCAGGTGATATATACGACCGGCAATTAAACTATCGATCGCACGGGTAATTGCATCCAACGTAGTTTGAACGTAATGCTAATGTTAAGCCATTAATTGCAAAATACATGCGAGTTAAATATTTAAATTCATGCAAGGTATATCCCGAGAAATCAGCGAGCTCCCTCGTAATGTGTTGAACTTGATCCGCTATAAAATCAGTATGATGAATGACATCCTGCAATAATTTAGAGTTTAATTCGGTATTAATTCGCGTTAAGTTAACAACAGTAAGGGTATCATCCATAATTGCCGAAAGATGCGACTGTGACAGTTGTAGATTGGAAAGTTGGGACTGCAGATATTCGATATCCTCATCTATAGCACTACCGAATAGCCACTTAGCCAATTTACCCACTCCAGCTATTAGAGCCCGCTTAGCTCGAGGATTATGCAGCGAATTCATGTCATGCACTCGTGCAATCAAGAAATCATACTTCTTCTGAAACCATTTTAAGTGAGTCTGAAGCATTTTGTACAAATCATGCGCAAAAGCCTCCGTAGAGTACACAGGCATGTCAGTCACAATTTTATACGGGGACGAAGGTGTAATATTAGGTGCGACTGGCAGCCACAATGCATAGTGGCACACGCTCACCCCGGGAGCTCGTCGAGGGTGAAGCGCTAAAAAGCGGCGACCCTTCGTACGTGGTGGGTGTGGCACTCTGCGGGGCAAGGGAGCGCACGTGGGAGCCACACGACCGGCCCCCCCCGGGGCCCCGGGAGCCGCCCCGGGCCCGGAGGCACCCCCCCCCCCCCGGGCGCCCCCCGCCCCCCCCCCGGGGGGTCAAACACGGCGTGGCAAGGCAGGGGAGACAAGAGAGGGAAAGGGCCGGGAGCATAGCCAAGGGGCACGTAAGCATAGAAGAGGCGAGTCCTGCGTGGAATTCTCGTACGGCGTCTCTCGTGCACGTCATAAACTTACATCGCTCCCTTTCGCAACTGGAAATTTAAAACAATCCCGCTTTTTTTATAAAATAAAACATGCGGAACCGTATGACAACTTTATTTTTAAGGTTGCTGCGGGTTTGATCCATTAGCTGCATGGAAGCTGACAGAACTTATAAGCATAATGTCTATGATTTCTGTGCAAATATCCTTGCACTGCTGTGAATAATGTTCCACATTTTTACACACGTTCGTCGGGCTTACAAAAGAGGTTCCACAAATAAGTGCTTTCCGGCAACCGGAATGGTTCGACGCAAATAACACTGTTAACTGGATTGTTCCATCGCTTTATGTCTTTATCCAGTAATAAAGCGAAATAACGATTCAAATAATGACAAAGCATCGGACTTGCAATTATGCGCACTGGCGACAAATCATAGCTTAATCTATAAGACTATGTATGCATATTCCGTGCACTACTCATTTTAGGTGTCTGAATAGACGTTCGGCGTTCTAATCTGCGCCGGCCTCTGAAGCGTGTTCTATTATCGTGTCACTGGTTGACTCTAACCGCCACATCCATTCCTGTTTTGGTGGTCACAGGGTCTTTTGCAGTCGTGTTGCTGATGCGGTCCGTTGCCCGTGTAGTCTGCGTGTGCACAGGACGACTTCGGGTTGTTCCCCAAGTTGACTTGGCTGCCTGCTTTGGCACTCTAAGCGTAACTGTTGTTCACCAACGTTTCATGAGTGTTGTCACGCCCGTTCCATGAGTGTGTGTTCACGACGTTCCCATGAGTGCTGTTCACAGGGTTCCATGACGTGTGTTCACGTACGTACCGATCAGTGTCTGTTCACAGTCCATTGAAGTTGCTGTTCACGCCGTGTCCATGGGAGGTGCTGTCTTACACGCTTCCATGAGTGCTGTCCACACGTTCGCATGAGTGTTGTTCACACCGTCCATGAGTGTTGTTGCCACGACGTTCCATGAGTGGCTGTTCACACGTTTCCATGAGTGGCTTGCATGGCTTGTGGTCGTTGGTACCTGCAGTCAAGTCATGGGCTCTGTTCTGCGCCTCTGTCTGCTTCTGGGGTACCCACGGCAGGTGTAACATGTGTGGGCCGATAAGT